TGAGGCAGTATCACTACGGAAGTAGGTTGCCAAACCTTCCTTCCAAGGAGTGGCTGGGATAAATGTATATTGTTGTTGTTATGTGCCCTCGAGGCAGACCCAACTCATTGCGACCCCTCCTTGGGTTTCTGAGGTGGTATTACTACGGAAATAGATTGCCCAGCCTTCCTTCCAAGGAGTGGCTAGTGGGTTTGAACCACCAGGATCAATATATAAGGCCTCTTTAATTATAAATAAATAATAAAAACATCACTCAATTCAATTATTGAAAAAAAAAATTAAAGTAGGTTTGGAACGACTTGGGTATATGAATCTACTTTTTCAACTGTAAATGTTATGAAATCTAAATTCAACTCAATATTTCAGATGAAAATTTACTATTCAACTTATTACATGATGTAAGCATGAAATGGTCATTGAATTTTTATGACCTAGTATGCAAAATAAGCAAAATATCTCATTCATACTTTTTTATTGGTTACAAGCTTAAACGATAGTATTTTGATATATTGGGTTAAATAAAACATTAAATTAATTTCACCTGTTTCTTTTTACTTTTTTAATGCTAGAATTATTTTTATACTTTTTTAGTAAAAAATTTAAAATTATCTGTGTGGCTTGTGTTATGTTTCTGCTTGACTGAGCTGTCCTATATATTAACTGATGAAATCAAGTTGAAATGAACATCAAATGTAGACTTTAAGTTTGGAAAGACAGCATAAAGCCTAAGGGTGCATATGAAACAAAGAAGGACAAGTTATTAGTCCTTTTATTTGTTATAAAAAGGCTCTAGCACACTGTAATAATTTTTTGATATCACAAACATTGATAAGAAAATTAAAAAAAAGTGTAGACTAGACATAGAAGCACACACAGGGGAAAGATAAAATATGAAGACAAGCGTACACAGCACAGACATCTGTGAGGACAGGAACACTGCTAGAAGCTGAAACAGACAATGAAGGGCTGTGCCATTTTATACTGTTTGGACTGTAGTGGGCAGGCATATGAGGTATGAAAACTAACAGTCCGAAACACAGGCTGACCTTATGTCCATGTCTCATCTTGACCCTGTTCTCACCATCCCATCTAACAGAGCACCTCCATGAGAGATGACTGGCAGGCTGCTGAGCACAGCACCCCCGACAATTTCTCTGTCTGAAACGATTTCCCTTCTTACAGCTTCCTGGGGCAAGATGCGAAGAGAATTGTGTCAGTCCTGAACAGTAAGTATCTGAGAATCCCAGCTAGAATAGAAGAGAGAAAGACAGACAAAAGTATCCGTAATCAAAACAGTGTCAAGATGTCATCAGACATCTGTGGCAAAGACATGTGTTTGTCTAATCCTAAATACTCAAAATAATACTGCTGACAGTAGTTATTCCAAAATCAATCTTCCCATTCAAGAAGCTGAATTTATCTCCATTTATACAGTCATAAAAAGCAAAACAAAACCCATTGGTGTCTGGTGAATTCCCACTCACAGTGACCTTATAGTGACCTCATAGCTATTTGCAGAAGACTTTCTCGCCCATGCTGCTCTGTGACTCATCAAGACAGACTGCATAGTCACAGGCTGATGGAGCTGGGCGATTTCCAAAGTAGCACCACCACTTCAAATTCGAAAAGCATTTCTTAGTTTTTATAGCATGTTAATATTAATATGAATTTGGCTGTCACTTTGATGAAATTATCCCTTAATCTACCAGAGGATATAAATATAGAAATGCAAAAGATTCATTCCACCTGGAGATGAACTACAAAAAAGACAAGGAGATTTTGAATAAAAGACTTGTTTGGGCTGAAGAAAAACACATGAAAAGGGTTTCCCATAGCCACAATTATTAAACTCAGGGGAAATGGTGATGGCTTGGTTGTTATAAGCACGTTCCAAAATCTCCAAACCAAAGTCACTGCCATTGAGTCAGTTACGACTCATAGTGACCCGTTGAGTTTCTGAGACTATAAATCTTTACTGAAGGAGATCACCCCATCTTCCTTCCATGGAGACTCTGGTAGGTTTGAACCACTGACTTTCTGGTTAGCAGCAGATGCCTTATCCACTACACTACCAGAGGTCCTTTGGGCCCTGGTTAATTGGCACATGCAGTCTGAAGTTTTAGACACCTATAACCAGAGGAAGGAGCCCTGGTGGTACAATGGTTAAGCACATGGCTATTAAAAGAAAGGTTGGTGGTTCAAACCCACTCAGCAGCTCCAAGGGAGAAAGCTCTGGAAATTTGCTTCCATAAAGATTATAGCTTAGAAAACCCTATGGCACAATTCTACTCTGTCACATGGGTTTACTGTCAGTCAGGATAGACTCAATGATGCCTAACAACATCACCACTACCACAGGAAGAATACTCTTCTTCAGAATCAGAATCCTAATGCTGTAGAACTACAAGGGGCTTTGAACAAATGAAGAACATGAGGTCATCCAGAGGTGAAAGTGTTCAATGAAAAGCAAACCATATTTTCTATGAATGTGTGACCAAAGAGAGGAGGTGGAAATGGATTTCAACAGATTTCAATATATCTGTGTCAGAAAGTATTACTAAAAGGCAAAATTAAACTCATCTTCAAAGAAGCCTACATTTTCCTTTCTCCTCATCCTCAAAACCCTACTCTAATCCTGCACTCCTTCTCTCCTACAATCTTATTTTTTTCATCCCTACAGGGAAAATTTGAGAGTTGCCATAATTAATTCAGAATACTTAATTATTTTTCATCATGGGTGAAGTTAGCTTCTACTTTTTTCCCCACTTCTTGTTTGGCCTCTATGGGAGTGTTGCAACAGCTTGGGAAACATGTATTGCTTTCATGCTCATAACTGAAATTTGCTTTACATTCACATTTATTGACCTCAAATATATGCACACCTTATACATCCATTTTCAAACTCACTCATTCCTATCTTGCATTCCAAGTTGTTTCCTGGTAATTGTCATCATAAATGTTGATGATGGTCAGGGTTACATTTTCTATCACACTATTTTCATAATCACTAATTTACTTAGTGATTAGTCTTATAATGATTCACAAAATTATTTGCACAATACTGTCTACAGTAGATAGCACTGGTTAAGGCAACCTGTTCCACAACACATTCAAGTGGTTACACCGAAGTTTAAATAATATAATCTATGATGAAGAGTATATACTTTCATTGTAACAAGGCATCTTGTATTGTAACCTATAGCTCTGATTTTTGGAGTTATAACAGCATTGCCTATAATTTTATTTTATAAAGCTTTATTCTTTCTCCCTAGTTGCCTGACCACAGACTGGGTACATCTCTGGTATATATGGTAAGTTTCAGCTATCATTCCCAGGGAGAAACTTAAAAAGGACTTTATTTTTCTCAGGGACATTATTTTTTTTTAGCTTTTAAAATACATTGTCAGCAGGAAGAAAATGTATGAGACAGTCTGCCTACTTACCAGGCATCTCATAGAGTTTCATTTTCTCATCACTAACTGATGTGACAATATGTCAGGATTTCCTATTTCAATACCATCTCCTCGACCAACATGAAAAGATTATTGTGTCCTTCCCTCAAGGTCTTCTCTAGATATTTCTTCACAGAGGAGAGATTACTTCAGGGAAGTAAAAAAATAGTCCAGCCAAACCACCTTCAAATTTCCTCTCAACTGTTCTAATGAATGCTCTCTCTGAGAAAATGAAGAAGTATAAATGCAAAATGAAAGCTTTAGAACTAAAGCCTTATCATCTTTCCATGAAGCATTCAAACAAGGATCAAAATGCAAACGTTGGAGACTAATTATGACAGAGTTGGCAAAACAAACCAAATGACAGAACCCTGATTTGTTCCATGGGCTCCTTACAGGTTGCTGGTGGTCATCGGTGGCCTCCTTCTCCTGTGTGGTCTGACTTCAGTCTGCTTCCGCTGCTGCTGCCTGAGCCGTCAGCAAAATGGGGAAGACGGGGGCCCACCACCCTATGAGGTGACAGTCATCGCTTTTGATCATGACAGCACTCTCCAGAGCACTATCACTTGTGAGTGCACTGATTTTATAACATGGGAGGGAATCCAGATTTAAATGATTCAAAAAAAAAAAAAAAAGTTGCAGTGGCATTGATTCCAACTCATAGTGGCCCTAGAGGACAGAGTAGAACTACCTCTATAGGATTCCAAGGTAGTGATTTGGGGGAAACTGATTTTTTTTTTCCTGGAAGATCTCCAGGTCTTTTCTCCCACAGAGTGGCTAGTTGTTCCAACTGCAGACCTTTGTGTTAGCAAATCAGGCGCTTAACCACCATGCCATTAGTGCTTCTTTAAATGATTAAAATGGTGCAAAAGTATAGAAACATTGATTTCGTAGTATTGTAGTTTCTAGAACTCAGGGTAGATTAAATTTCAAGAAGCCTAACTGTGTGGTCATCTGGACTCTCTGTGCTGCATTCTCAAATATTTGTCTAGTGGTGGCTGAGGAAAGAAAAGAAAGGAAATGCTGGATCCAACAGCAGAAATTTGCAGCAGGGACCTCTTTTGAGAACTAAGTTGTAGCAAAAAGATTAGCGTGGAGATTAAGACCTGGCAACTCAATACTATCAGAAATGTTTTACAGTAAAGATTATCCAGTTTATAATCATTTTTCTAAAACTATTTCAAAACTCTAGTTCATTCAAAATACACTATGAAAACCTAAATTTTCTATTATGTATGCTATTTTATATCTTTAGGTAAAAAGTAGTGTGTACCTTCAGTTCTTCATTCTTCAAGGCCTGATACACAAAATTTTAGCCCCAGCATACCCTGTCATGATAAGACATTTTCCATTGTTTTCTCTGTTCTATTACATTGTTTCCTAAAATTGTAGAGTAAATACCAGCTAGAACATCAGGTTCCAAAACACTGATATTTATTTTGAAGAAGGAACAATATAACTCACTGTTATTTAACTCTTCTACATCCTTTTCTTCACTATTATCTCAGATAAAAGATTAATGAGGCAGCAAATAAATATTCAGAAAGAGTCTACAGTACCAGTGGGATGGTACAAAGTGTTTCAAGTCTGAAAAGGAGAGAAAGCAGGGCTGTGAGATATGGGAACACAATTTAGGTTATCTGAAGACACCAGAGAACGCAGATTCTTTTAGTAGAGATGAAGTTGGTTTCTAAGCAAGTGTCATAGGATTTTCACAAAATGTGTGGCAAGAGTGAAAATGAGTTTGGACAATTGTAAAGAATGCAGGGACATTAAGTGGGGTGTAAGTTTCTGATTTCTGAGGATGTCTGGTTTACTTTGGCTCTATTCCTTCTTTCTTTACCAGCCTTGCAGTCAGTGTTTGGCCCTGCAGCTCGAAGAATCCTGGCTGTAGCTCATTCCCACAGCTCCCTGGGCCAATTGCCTTCCTGTTTGGACACCCTCCCAGGTTACGAAGAAGCTCTTCACATGAGTCGCTTTACCGTAGCGAGGTGTGGGCAGAAAGCGCCTGACCTACCCCCAGTGCCAGAAGAAAAGCAGCTGACTCCACGGGAGGAGTCTCCAACAGAACACTCTTCGGATTGATGGGAACTTTGGTTTTACTGAGGACAGTGGGGGTAGGGTATCTCCAGAGTCTGTCGAAATCTACAGACCTATGGGACATTTCCTTTTCTAACTTTCATTAAGGATTAGGATGACATCTAAAGCTCTGTTAGCGTAGTGCCTAAGGCACTTGACTGCTAACCAGAAGGCTGGCGGTTCAAACCAACCACCCACTCCTGGAAAGGAAGGTTGAGCAATCTACTTCCGTAGGGATACCTCCTCGGAAATCTAAGAAGGAGTCTAGTTGGATCCGACTCCACAGCAGTGTGTTAGGTTTAGGTTAAATATTCTGTGAAAAAGATGAGTTATCATTTCTTTCCCAGCCATATCTCTTTTCTTATATGGAATGCTCTAATCAGGAACTTGGAAGCTGTAGTAGCATAGTGCCTAAGGCACTTGACTGCTAACCAGAAGGCTGGCGGTTCAAACCCACCAGCCACTCCTCGGAAGGAAGGTTGGGCAATCTACTTCCCTAGTGATACTGCCTCGGCAACCCAAGGAGGGGTCGCTATGAGTCAGGTCCGACTCCATGGCACATAACAACAAACAACAACAATCAGGAACTTGTGTTCTTTACCCAGTGGCCAAAATTTGCAACTAACCTTTAGCCATGCTGATTACTGACAAACCAGGAAAGCATCAAATATATCTCAAATGCCTTCATCTATCCAGTGGGCATGAAGTGCATTGAATTAGGTGATACTGCGAGCTACTTTCCTCTCTGCCAACTAATGGATATGGTATACTTGAAGCAAAAGACCACAGTGTAGGCCCAGCCATTCACAATAATGTACTGAGTCCATATATCCTTACTCTTGAGAGAACAGCCAACTTATACTGAATGAGAATGATCATCCTGGACATCATAGTAATACCCAAATGGACATCCAGAATCCAGAAGTCGAATGGCCAGTATGATCTGAGGTAACACAATATACAATAGACATACCAAATATCAAAGTTTTTTACTCTGGCCCCACCCATCAGCATTATGAAAAACTGCATAGGATATAGTAATGGTTCTATTAATTCTCTATTTATTCTCTCTGGAAACACACACATACTTTTTCTAACTTAATTATATGACAACTCTAAATGAATAGCATTGCTTTGCTTCCTTCCCCCTTCCTGCTTTGACCACCCAAAGCCACAAGATGTCTATATAGTGATGCACATTAGTCTCTCGTGGGGCCCCCCACTGCCACCTAGTGGACTCATGGTGGAAAATCCATTCTCTGAACTTAATCTCCAATGTTTGTGACACCAACTGAACTAAGCCTGAATGGCTTCTTCCCATGGCATCATTCTGCTGTGTAATGTAAAGCTGTAGCATAGAATGATACCTCCAAAAATTATTGTTATGGGAAAATTGAGGAATTGAAATGTATTTTGGGGAAAACTACTCCCCAATGACCTTAAAGAAGTTACCTGAAGTCTTTAAAACTCAGTCTATTCCTCTGTGAAATAGGAAATAATAATACCTGACAGGATTGTCATGAGGATCAAATAAGCTAAACATATGTGACATGATTTGTAAAATGTTATGCATATGCATTTGTTATTCTTATTATTGACATCAATATTAACCTGCCTGCTGTCATTCACTGAAACTTATGGTTTGATTCATCCCTTGGCCTGCCTATTATGTTATGCCTAAGAGACACTTTAAGTGGCTTTATTTTATCAGTAAATATTTGTTCTTGAGCTAAACAACTAAAGATATACATGATTCCTTCTACTATGAATAGAGCTAAGGGGTATTTGAGAAAATTCATTGTTGATTAGGCAATTAACTTCAGTACTTTGGGAGGCAATACAGACCCAAGGAACGGCTGATCAGTACAGCACCTCATTAAGTACATTATTGGAATGCTCACTCAGCCTGGAGGGGAAAATGTTCTGAATGTAACCTGCTGGTGATCTGCATTTACCCTGAGTCGTTTATTAAATTGCCTCTGGAAATTGTTGAAATGCATGAATTCTTAATAAGATCTGAGGTGAACTTATTTTACCACAGCAAATGAATCTTTTCATCATCACACATTCCCTAAAATATTTTAGGATCTTTCATCCACCAGAGCACCACAGTCTGGAAGAAATAAAAATGTTGAAGGGCATTAAAAGCCTTGGAAGAAATTCTGCCTATAAGAATCTTATTCTAAAGACATCCCTACCCCTTTAGTTTTAGTATGGAATGATTTTCATACATTTTGTTGTTGTTGTTGTTATGTGCCATCATGTTGGACCCGACTCATAGCGACCCCTCCTTGGGTTTCTGAGGCAGTATCGCTGTAGAAGTAGATTGCCCCATTTTCCTTCCGAGGAATGGCTGGTGGATTTGAACCATCAGCCTTCTTGTTAGCAGTCAAGTGCCTTAGGCACTATGCTACCAGAGCTCCCTCATACATTTTACATTACTCTATCCTATGTATCTAGTATTGTTTTTCGTCCCTACCTGCTTCATGTTAAAGTGTTAGTATTACTCCACAGCCTTATCAAGCCGTCCATTCCCTTGTTATTAATAGTTTCTGTTGAGTCAATTTTGACTCATCGTGACCCCATGTGTGTAGAGTAGAACTGTTCCATAGGATTTTTAAGGCTGAGACCTTGTGGAAACAAATTGTCAAGCCTGTCTTCTGAGGCACCTCTGGGTGGGTTTGAAAAGCCAACGCTTGGCTAGTAATCAAGTGTTGAACCATTTGCACCACCCAGGGATTGTCCACTCCCTTTACCCTCCCATTTTGTCACAAGCTCTCAGCAGGTATCTGGCTTCACTCCCTTCTCTATTCAATCTAAGTAAGACATCCGCTAATCACCATTTCATTATTGCTCTCAAAACTTTACCAACAACAACAACAACAACTCACTGCTGTTGAGTAGAATCCAACTCATAGAGACCTCTCCTTGGGTTTCCGAGGCAGTACCACTATGGAAGTAGATTGCCCAATCTTCCTAACTTCGCATAACTTTCCTTATATCTATCCTTCAAATTTTAAACACCAGATCAGTGAAACTAATTGATGTCTCCCCAACACCTAAATTGCTAAGCATTGCTCAAGAAAATGTCTCAATTGATTGAAGTTATTATAAATTCATTGTCTTCATCACCAGCTGAACCATTTAGCATTCCTTCCAGATTTCTTCTAGTTATTTTTCCATCCTTCTTCAAACCTCACACTCCATCGCTTACTCATTAATTATAAGCAATAGAGAGCCCTCTTCTACCCCAAAAATAGTCATTCCAATTGTGCTTTGTATTACATTGATTCAACAGTTTTGTTGTTAGTATTTATTTGTTCAACAAATATTCTTTAATAAATTATGTGTCAAGAATAGTGGAGGATTACCAGGAAAAAAAAAAAAACCCTCACTGCTGTCAAGTCGGATTCGACTCATAGTGACCCCTCCTTGGGTTTCTGAGGCAGTATCACTCTGAAAGTAGCTTGCCCCATCTTCCTTCCAAGGAGTGGCTGGTGGGTTTGAACCGTCAGCCTTCTGGTTAGCAGTCGAATGCCTTAGGTACTACACTACCAGAAATCCTTATGCACAATTAGGTAGGGAATAAAAGAGTATGCTAAGCAAACAAAGTTTCTGGCCCTATCCTCATGGAACTTACGTTGTTATAGGGAAGGGTCTTATTGTAAAAAAACCTCAGTCCCTCTTATTTTTTATAAGAACCCAAAAATAAAATGACAACAAACACTAAAAATGTGAAAAAAGAAAAGAAAGGCTGAAATAGAAAGCAACAGTAGCAGAAAAGTAGAGAACTCTTAGGAAAGGCAGAGAGAGGGAAGAAGATTTTTGAAGATGGGGTAAAGTTTGGTAAGTTTCAAAACTGAATGGAAGCTAGAGTAGGGGATTGTAGTGAGAGAAGGAGAACACTGTAGGGAATTCAGTTCAAGAGGGAGAAGAGGCTTTGGGGAGAAGGAGTCTAGATTATACATTGGAAAGCTTTTAAAGGCTTTTATACAGTGAGTAACTATACAATTTGATTTATAAGACAATGACTGTTAGGAGGCTACATGAAGAATGTACTGGATAAGTATGAAAGGAGAATGATCAGATGGAAGGCTATTGAAGATAGATGAGAGGTGATTGTGGTAGGTCTGGGTGGTAACAATAGAAGTAGAAATAGAGAAAAATATAGGCACGCTGGTGGTGTAATGCCTAAGGCATTTCACTGGTAATCAGAAGGCTGGTTGACACCCACCAACCACTCTTCAGAAGGAAGGATGGGCGATCTACTTCCATAGATACTGCCTCAGAACAACCCCAAGGAGGGGTTGCTAAAGCAGGCTCATCAGGACTTGCTGATGATCTAGAAAAGGAATGGTATTAAAAAACAAGCAAACAAACAAACTCACTGCCAGTTGACCCGACTCATAGCAATCCCTCCTTGGGTTTCCGAGGTGGTATCACTACAGAAGTAGATTGCCAATTCTTCCTTCCCAGGAGTAGCTGATGGGTTTGAACCGCCAGCCTTCTGGTTCAGTCAAATGCCTTAGACACTGCACTACCAGAACTCTTAGGAAAGATATGAAGGGAAAGGAATCAAGAATGATTTTTAGATCATTGATCTGAACCATCTGTGGAAAATAGAGCCAGTTAAAAGGATGAGGAATACTGGTTAGACAAGATACAGGAGAAAATTCAAGGCAGTGATTTCTAAAAGTGGTAAAAAGATAATTGATGGTGAAATATAAACCAAGTTAATTAAGGCAATGCCTACTTCACTATGCAAGTTAAGATGTGCCGATGAGAAAAGTCAGCCAAAGTTTTCTTGGGACTGAATATAAAAAGTCTCAAATTATTAACTCTTTTGTAACCTGTCGTATATAAAAGTACTACATTTTCCACCTCTGGGGTTTCTTGGAAGCTTCCCCACACACACACACATGTATAGTACATGCTTGTATTGGGGCAGAGACTTACACACTGCATAAAACAGAAGGAAGCTCATTGGTGACATATTGCTGTGTTGA